GAAAATAGAGCTCATGAAGAGACCTGCATCATGATCGGAATGTCGACTGCCTCAATAATATCTTGGGAGAGCTCCGGGAATATGTCATCCTGCGGGATCATCAGCGGATGGTCGAGAAATTTCACATCCTCAAGACTATAGTTAGCGGCAGCTTCAACAAACAACACGCCCTCACCTCCACACGCTAACTTCACTTCACCATCGTTAGGATCATTGATGAACCGGCCAGCCAACGGGTAATAAGTTACGAGGGCCTTTGACATAGCCTGCTTGATGGTTTCTGCCGCCCTCACCCCGCTCTTGAACACATGAACTGATCGCACAAAGTAGCGAAGACCCTCGATGCGATCTATGGCAGACAGAGGAAGGATCTCAGTCGGTGTCGGCTCTGCAGGAGTGACGAACCCGCTAGATTTCCTGGCAACGGAGAACACCATTGTTCCAGTTGCTTGGTTGAGCAGTAAGGGAGATGAGCGAGGTATATGATAGGGAGAGAAGAAGTTTGAGTGGCCAATGGGGATGTATTGGGGGACTTTTATTGTTCAAGGAGTCGGGACTTTTGCTTATTTTGTAGCATTGGTCAGTGCGGTTGGTAGACGCTTAGTGATACACGCTAGCGAGTAAATTTTTTTAAGGAGCACCCACAGAGTACAATTGCCCACACTTACTAGGCAATTTCATCTTGAACAGGGATTCATTCTTGAGGCTATTATTAAATTGAATAGTGAAATGAAACGAGCATATGGGAGTCTCTCTCAGAGAACACGTTAATTGTCTATGGAACATGTTAATGTCCTTCGCTAGGTCTAGGCATTCAATTGAAAAAATGGCGTTATTGGATCATTAATTGGATCGGTGTGGTTTATGTTAAATGATCTTAATAGAAATCGCAAATAGAATTAAATAAACGTTGACCGTGAGATAAGTGAAATCAATATTTAAACACACTTGTAAAAAAGATTTAAATTAAAAAGGGGAATAAACAAACTTTCTAATAAGAAGCTACGCACTTTGACCTTGTAATTTTACAAATCAATAATATATAATAACCAATAAGTTAAGCTTTAAATAAATAAAACATATTGAAAAAATGAATTAATATGCTTAGACTAGTATTATTATATGCAATCATAACTTGAACAAACTCACTATTTTAAAACTTACATCGAAGTATCTTGAGCCTAACTTGATGGACCGACACAAACGAGTGCATGCGCTTATTATGAGTTGCGCTAATTAGTAAACTTATTTGGCACAATATAAAATATTTGTACATAAAAAACAAGTCAACTTGAATCTTGATAAGATCTAAGAAACCAGAGAACAAAGGAGTACGGCTAAGGAGTGCCCATAAGTTAAAAACCAAAGGGCCGACAAGCGGAAGACCAAAGGGCTCTCAACATGAATATTGATAAGATCTAACAGACCAGAGAATAAAGGAGTACGACTAAGGAGCACCCACAGGTAAGAAATCAAAGGGCCCACAAGCGGAAGGCCAAAGGGCCCACAAGCGGAAGGCCAAAGGGCCCATGGGACTAAGTGCAAACCCCTTGAACTGGGGCTAGAGAACGACCGAATGCATGCCATGTAAACCATGTATTAAGGCTAACCAAGCCTAACGGAGGCATCGACCTGGCTCTCGCCACAACTTGATTCAAGGAAAGAATCCATTATCTCTAGACATCTCATGTGTGCCCTTGGGTTTCCTCATCAAGCGCTGAGAGCTTGCTATAACGCAAACAAAAAAAAAAAACTATATATTTTTTGAAGGTGGAAAATACTTAGCCTGAAATTTTTGTGTTAAATCTTCCCAAGTTCTAATAGATCCAGGTGCTAATGAGTTTAACCACATCTTAGCTTTGTCCCTTAATGAAACAGAAAAAGTCTAAGTCTGACGACATCATTTAAAAAACCATCATATTTATATGTAGTACACAGTTCTAAAAAACTTACAAGATATAAATTTGGATCCTCATTTGTTGTTCCCCAAACGGATTATTTTGTGTCATTTGTATTATTGCAGGTTTAAGTTCAACTGAGTTAGTCGTTACAGCAGGAGTTTGAATACTTAAGTGAATTTCATATGTTGTAGGGTTTACATAATCCCTTAAAATTTTTTGTAAATTATGATGTTCATTTTCACCACTTTGAACTTCAATGTTATTTTGTGAAGTGTTCGCCATATCTTGAAAATTTTGAAGTCTTCCTTGTTTTCAATTTTTTCTTATAATACGTTCTAATTCAGAATCGTAGAGCACTAATCCTTCAGATCTCGAACTACGCATACAAACAATAGAATTCAGAAATTAAAATATCACAACAAAATAAAATAGAATTGATAATAATAAATATTTTTTTCAATATTTTAAAATGATTCTTTTGAATTTCTTTTTAAATTTTTAGGTTTTTCTATTTTTTCAATAAAATAAAATCTACATTTCAAACAAAATTACAAATAAAAAAGTTTACTTTCCAAATTTAAAAAGTTTTCATTACTTTTCCCCGGCAAGGGCGCTAAAAACTTAACCGGACCCGCAACTACTTATATTTTTAATTTCCAAAATATTGCCAAAAATTTGACCCAATTTATATTTAGCAACTAGTGTGAATAATTGTAATAATATATAAAATAAGTAATAATACTTCACACCAGAAGTACTATGCAAGTATACATATTGTTTCAAATAATATAGGATTTTCCTTAAAACCCCCCAGTATCGATCCCACCAGGATAGTTGAACTATTTAAAATGGCTTGCTAAACTCAAATGCAAACTCTATCTAAATTGTAGATTTAAATGAAAATGAAATGATAACATTAGTTAAAATTAAATTAAAGTAGATAAAAATGACTATCTAACAGCTTAATAAGAGTAATTCTAACAAGTTTGAATAATATGTAAAGATCTTCGTCTTGCAATGAGATATTAATCTACATAGGATTTTAATGAGTAAAAATATGATGATGTATTGTGACAAATAGGATAATTCTTATTCTTTACCCCCTCCCGATGCTAGTAAAGAACATTGGCTAGTTTAGAGTTTTTCATCAGCTTGTGTAGTAGTGATGAATAGATTCTGGCCTCTGACCTCCAAATTACCCACTATGCCCTCTTTATAGGACCTACTAAGGACCCTTGAGATCAAAACTCTAAACTGAATTTGAAAAAGAATCTAGTCTATCTCCCAAGAAACATCAATTCTACGCCCATCAAAATTTATCTCCCTATTTATTTGCACTCCCCCTTAGGTGATTGCAATGACTCTGCTCAAAATTAAGTGTGACACTCACTAGTTGGGTGAAATCATAGCTCTCCCGGGTTTATATGTTTCTCAATGGATTTGAACCTCACAAGTGACCATTTTATAAAGTCAATGAAGAATAGGTGAAAATGTCATCATAGCTTTTAAAAGTAAATCGAAATCTTTAAATCCATCTCATCAATTCCATCTTATCAAACAAGATTAATTCCTAAGAGCAAGGAGAAAGAAAGGGAACAACTCATAATTCATGGAGAATAAAACAAAATCACCATATTTTTATTGGAATCCAAGTCTTAAAATTAAAATTTAAACACAAATATAAAGTACCTTATGTCTTCTCTCCAACATAAATTTTGGAGTCTCCTTGAAGAAATCTCCAAACTCTTACTCTTACAAGACAAAAAACACTAAAACATACACTTAAATACTAAAGTGGGACTTCAAATGTTGCCAAAAAGTCCTCTATTTTGTACAAATTTTGTCCATATTAATAGATCTCTGAAAATAACCAAGGGTTGCTTCAAGAACTCCTTCAAAATTTGGCCAAATTCAATGGATTTTCTTGAAGGGTAGTTATTGGCGTTATAGCGCCAGCTGGGAGCTATAGTGTCTGCTGCCCGCGTCTATGGCGCTATAGCACCAAGGTACGACGCTATGGCACCAAACCATTTTGCTCCACTTTTGTTCAGTTTTCCTTCTTTTTGTCCAAATGTCTATTCCATGTACCTGAAACCAGAAATATACAAAATACATTCCTTTAAAGTAGAATATCACTAAAAATATGCATAAAACAATCATAAAATATGCACTAAAAATAGGTAATTTTAAGATGGATCAACCATCCATTTTTCTGTACTGACCTCTTAGTCATAGCATTTAGGAAGATGATGGAAACGACATTTATAGCTCTAGATATGTTGGTGCATGAATTCTTTAGCATGCTCCTCATTATAAGTGTCTCTGAGATGGCTTTATCGTTATTGGTCTTTCTTTTCTTTTTGTTGGTAGCATGTTCCACGCTCACCACACCTTTTAGAATGTTGAATCCAGATTTGTCCCGTGAGGCATACCAAAGGATTGGAGCGGTAGAAAGTTTGAAGGAGAAGTGGAGAGAGATAAAGAGAGGGAAAAAAAGTAAAAGAGCACAAAGAGACTTGTCTCGTAGGGGTAAATAGGGGTATTCCTAGGATTGGTTACCAATTTTATATATTTTAAATAAGGGGTTACAAGAGAGAATGTGAAAGAGATCTCGTTATAAGAATGAGTCTAAAGAGAAGAGCCTAAAGAGACTAAATCCTATAGAGAGCATAAAGCCACAAATACATGTTATGAACCCCTACTTATAGGAGTGAAATGCCAAAAAATGTGTTATTTTTATATATACATATTATGCTCATTTTAATGATATTACAGTTTAATAGAAAGTATTTTGCATGTTTTTGATTTTATGTACTAAAGATGAAATTTTTGAGAAAAAGGAGCAAAATTAGTGCAAAACATGGTCAATTGGAGCAAGGTGGCACAAAATGAATTAGTGTCTAGGCGCCAGACCCTGTACGTGAGAACAGAGAGCTTCACGCCATGGTGTCAGGATCTCGCGCCTAGGCACCAGGCAGTTATACTAAGCTTCTAGAAGGTTAGCGCTTAGGCACTATAGTTTAGCACCTAAGCGCCAGTATCTGTTTTTGATTTTATGCATTGAATTTAGACAAATTTTGACGAGTCATTTGAGGCGACTCTTGGGGATTTCAAGAGTTATTTTTAAAAGGAGTCAAGAGGTGCCCAAGTGGGGTGTGTGAAAGGGGGTCAGTGTGAAGAAGATGCTTCTTTTGGAGGTGTCAGGGAGAGTTTTTGGTGTGTGTGTGTGTGTGTGTGTGTGTGTCTCTTAGAGTGAAATTGTAAGGAGAGTTGAGAAATCATCAAAAGAACTTCAGAGGATTTGCTTTGGGAGAAGTTTAAAAGAAGAAATTTATATTTTTGTTTGAGTTTGTTTATTGTGTAAACTTGAATTTTAATATAAATCATGTTTCGTTATATTATCCACATGATATCTAAGTAGTTTTCTTTATCTTTCTCCTTGCAACAACAATTAATCTTGTGTAGGATTGGAATTATTTAAGATTTCTCTTATTCCATACTTGTGATGATTCATTATTTCGTACTTAATTACATATTCAATCTGGTTAATTAGTATGTTAAAAGTTGTTGTGAAGTCATAATGACCCGGGAGAGCTATGTATTCCTCAACTAAAAAGAATCACATTAATCTGGTGAGTTATA